GCGGAGGTGGGCAAAGGGGGGCGATGGGGGGCATCTATAATAATGTCAACAATAAAAGTAAGGTAAAAAAAAATTCTAGAATCCTGTGTATTTTCTACATGTGAGCAATGAGGTTTCAAATACACAGCACCCGTGTGACATAGGAAATAAAAAGAATGGAGTGTATTCGAGAAAAACACACCAGCAGAGACGTAGTGCAATGCAAATTTCCCCCAAATTCTCATTAGTCTACAGCTAAGGCTCGTCAGAGGTGGACTGAGTGCACTGTGGCAAGATTTCAGTACAGCAGAGCTGCGCCTGTAATGCTGTGCTTTTTATGGAACCGGATGGACATTTGCCTGATTGTGTGACTGTGTGATAATGGAGTGTCCTGGGGGAGGAGGCGGCCTGGTCAGAAAGGCATAGCCTTAGGAGCCCAGCAGCTGGGACCGGCCTGTGCTTCTTTCCACTTAATTCAGATCTACTGAGTCTGCTCTCTGCCAGGAAGAAGAAAATGAGCTTTCAGGATCATTCAGACCTTTTTCTCTTCAGAGCCATAAAAGTGTCTTTCTATCAATACACAATCAGATCATTTAAAAAAGTCAGTGTCCATGAGAAGGAAACAAACCAATTGCTTTAGAAGAAGTGCTGATGCCAGGCCTGGGGGCAATTTTTCCTACGCATCGTTTTTAAAGGATGAAAAATGCCCCAACATCATCCATGTAGAAAGATGGCGTGAGAAGAAAGCTTTTTCAAAAAGACAGATGGAATCAACATAAATACAATTTATTTATTTTTTTTTAAAATCCTTTAAGGAGCCAAGACAATATGCCCAAGATTTAAAGTTGTCCTCTTGCCCTACTTGATCTGAATGTGGGTCTTTCACTCACCTATCTCTTACTCTTTGCTCACTTTATTTGGGCTGGGGTGGTCTTTCATTCAGGCAGGTTCTTGACAGGCTCCTCACATTTCACAAATCAATAGCTGTCCTATTCTGAGCTAGACCGAATGTGAATTTTCTTTTAGTTGGCAACATAGAATATTTGAATTGTTAATATTTGTTAGGGAGAAAGTTCTTAAACCCAGTATCTCTCTGTGGAGAGAGGCACTATTTACAAGTCAAAGCCTAAATGCCAACCTTTGCCCTTGTCTCAATTAGGGGCTGGATTCACCTACATTTTATGCCTCTGTCATTACATTGGTGGCCCGGGGTGTCCCCTTTGTAGTAGGCAGTAAAAACAGGGCTGATAGAACACAGGGCCCATGTGCTGCCCAGCAGAGGCACCTGCTCGCTCACTTCCCCTTCCTGAGCTCTAGGACATGGGCTCTGCTGACTCTTCTGTGCTGCCATGGACAACTCTGGACTCAGCCTCTCGTCTTCCTAGGCATCCATCGGGACTCCTGCTGAAGCACAGGACACCATCACCTTTAAACCGGCAAGGTAAATCAATGGAAACTATATGTATCTGACATCCCAGTACACATGTTTTGAATGCCTACTGTGTGTCAAGCACTATTCTAGGCACTAAGGATATAGAGTGCCTAAGAACAGGCTTAGCCCTGCTTTTCAGGATCTCATGGTCCAACAGCAGTCTCAGCAAAGTGTTGGCCTAAGGGAATTAGAGGTGGCTTTGCAGGGGAATTGGCCCGACGGCTAGAGCAGGCCTGCCTGGCAGTGAGATGAATATACAGGGTGAAGAACACAAAGGAAGCCGATGTCAGAGGGAAACCGATTTACTTCATAAAGTTGACTCTATGAGCAACTTAATTGTAGCAAGAAAACCGCAATTTACATGGGAAAGTTGAATATATGCAGGTACTGTGACATCCTTAAAGATTTCAGCATGCAAACGAGAAACCGAGCTGAGAAGAGCAGAGCAAGGAGGTGGCCGTGACTGAGTGCAGGAAGAAGTGTGGACAGGTACCCACGGCAACTACTCACAGCGCTTCCTGCCCACAATCGCCTTTGATCAATTAGACGATGTGCTCGCCTTGAACAAGGCACGAAACCATGTGGAATTTCACTTGCCTTGTCTGTCCTTCTCCCACCAGGCTCTGAGTTCCTTGGTCAGGGACCAGTCCTCATTCCTGTCTGTACCTCAGCGTCCAGCGTATGTAGCAAGCTCCTAGCATATGGTCAGTACCCAATAAAGCTTGTAGAACATTGCATTCTTGCTTCTCATTACCAAGACTTCTGGCTTTGTGTTACCAAACTTAACTTGACAACCAGGTATCACCCATGTACATGTCTCTACTCATTCAGCGAACAGATATCTGAGTGCCGACTAAGTGTCAGGTGGTGGAAAAGTCCTGAGGGTGGATAAAACTGGCCCGGCTCTTGTCCAAGAGGACATTTGCCATCTAAAATATCATATATCTCACAAAATTCCTTCTGTGGCAGGTACTGTGTGGATTGGCTTCCTTTAGCATGTGCTCTCATCTTTGGGAAAGATACAAACTACAGATTCCCTCGCAACTAAGGTTGTGGATATGATTTAAGTTCCCTGGATCAGGTTAAGTGATGTCAGAGGTGGTGTCTGAGGCACTCATTTTGTTGATGCAACTGATAGAGTGTAGGTGGCTCTGGAACCTGGCATTCTGGTTTTAGCTTTTGTGGTCCTCAAGTCAACCCCAGCTTCCTGATTGTGGTGGAGCTATGAGCCCCCTGCGAGGGCCAGTCTGCACTGTGGTCTGGGAGTCATTTCCAGTGGCCCAGCCTAGAGCCTACTATGTTAGACCTTTAATTTCATAAGCACCACTTCTCTGTATTAAATCTCTTTCTGCTTAAGCTGGCCAAATGGTCTCCTGTTATCTGCAACAGAAACGGGATCGATGCATCCTCTCTTCTAGGGAAGTTATTGGCTCCAGGTTTGGGATTACCAGAGCTTTACATTAAAACCTCTGTTGCGGCTTGTGCCAGCTTTTCATTTGATGTTTCTGAACCTCATATCTTGCTTTCTACACATTGCTCAGGACTGCTGGTCCTGAGCTCCCTGTCTCTCTGGCTTCATGTTAGATGCTGCCCTTTGGAGGAACTGGCTGGAGACTAGAAGGTGGAAGGGGGAGGAAAGGCGCTTGGATTTGGCCCTGGGAGTGTGGTGGTGTCGCAGTTGCTGTGATTGGTGCCAGGGCAGTGGAGTGATTCCAGGCTCTCACAGCTGAAGAAGGGGCAGCACTCTGTAGGCAAGTCTACAGACACCCAGCAGAGCATCTCATAGGATCACAGCAGCTTCAGGCTCGTGGCGCCAGCACAGGGCCGCTGGCAGCTTCTGGCTTCTGCACCCTTTTGCTTTTCCAGCCATTCCCCTTTTTGTAACCAATTCTCTCAATTAAATTCCCTTTTGGAAAACCTTGAGTGGTTTCTGTTTTCCTGGGAATCCTGTCAATTGTACAGTACATTTTATAATGCAAATATTTCATCTGTGTACAGAACTTTGAGT